CCAGCTGTGGGTTCCTTGACTTAAGACCTCAGGGTGGGGAACAGTGATAGTAAGTTGGGCCCCTGCTCCCCCCTCCCTCTGGCTCCTGCACAGCAGCCATCAACTGCACTCCCTCTAGGCCCTGCCACGAACTCACTATCATGGAATTTGTGAAACCCAAGCCTGGCCTGGTGGAAAATCTGTTTTTAATTTCTGGCCGGCATCACTGATTCCTCAGCCCAGTGTGTTGGGGGTGGGGGCGCCCATGGTCATGCAGCCAGCTCAGCACCCTGGCAGCCCATCCAGGACAGTGGGTGGAGGACCCCAGATCCCCACTGTGGGGGTGAGAGTGGGCTTCCTGGCCAGCATCAGATGACTGGAGGCATGGATGGGTTGGCTCCACTCAGCGATCTGGGGACCCTCAAGCCTCAGCCTGAGGGAGCCAGGTCTGTGGTTCATACATGCTGAGCTAGCTGTATGCATGCTCAGCTAGTTGCGTGTCCCTCGTGATCCCAGGCATGGGCTCAGCCTGGTGGGCCCTCCCCTTTCCTCACTCTGGCCAAAGATGCATGTGGAGTCTTAGCTTAACCCAGCCAGCCTTCTGGACAACCCTCCTCCCCCATACTTTGTCTCTTCCTCTGGCAGATGTAAGGTTGCCATTAGAAGCTTTCTGTGCAAGGATTGGGGGGATGGGGTCCTGCCTTCTCTTACCCATCCTGTTCATGTTCCAGCCCTGGATTCCTTTCTGCTCCCCGAACCCTTCCTGGGCTCTAGATCACAGAGACATCTTTGAGCCTGGTTCTCCTAGGGTACCCAGCCAGGAATCTGTGACTCCACAATGGTGATCTACGTGCCCCACTTCTACTGCCTGATTCCCATGGCCTCTGAACTGTGCAGTTGGGGTCTTTAGAGCCTCTTGGTGGCCCAGAAGGACTGCACTCCAGGCCTCCATCCTTAGACTATCCTGGATTCACTCTGGCGATTTATACTTCCTCTGGGCAAGCAGATGTGATGAACTCCTCCCTACTCCCGGCAGGCAGACAGGGTCCAGAGCCTCAGTGATGCCCACCTGGAGGTTTGCATATGTAGTGTGGCTCACAGGTATTACATCCTGGGGTGCTGGGAGAGTCACAATAGGAGGCCACTGGGAGCTGAAGAAGGTGATATCCCTGCCCACCTTTGCCAAGAGTCTGGCTCTTGGAACGCACACTGTGGCCAGTAGCTTAGGACAGGGATGGGTGTCTGCCTCACCCAACTGAGCCTCTAGATCACTTTTACCACAATTGGAAAATTCCATGTGGTCAGAGCCTAGATGCTGAATGGCATCTCGCTTTATCATCCTCAATGGCCTGTGGGCAGTGGTGGCTGCTCTTGCCATTGAGCACATTAGCCTAGAGCCCCCACTGAAGCATGTCCTTTGGGGATCTGGCCTCAGAGACTGGGAAGAGGGCATGCTGTCTCAGTCGGTTGTCCCACAGGGCCTCAAGGTATCTGTGCTGACATGTTTTCTCTCAGTGTAAACCGGAGGGTGCTATCCCTCTCATTCCCGGGGCTGAGACAGAGTCTACTGGCTGCCTCTGGCCCCATCATTCATTACAGTTGGTCCCATCTGGGAGGAATAAATCATGCCAGAAAGTTCCCCTGGCCTCTTGGAATTTGGGAGAAAGAGATGTCAGTTTATCCCTGTTGGACACATTCTCTGAGCACAGGTCCTGGGTCAACTGGAGGACGGTCTGCCCTTAACTTGCAGTAGAGATGTTAACATCATTCCTGTCCCATCCGTGAGCTTGGCAATACCTTCCAGCAATCCACTGACAGTATACAAGCAGACCCCAAGGCACAGAGGGTAGAAACGTGTTCGGAAGGGGCTTCCTAGAGGCCAGCCCAGGATGGAATGGGAGCACACAGACAGACAGGGCACCTTTGGCTGCCCTGAGAGCAAGGAGTTGAGAATGCTAGGCACCCAGTGTGACTGTCTCTGCCTATAGGTCATCACTGGATTTGTGTTTTGGGGGCTACTTCCTTTCTTTGAGCCCCGGGGTACCAGTTTTTTGGGTGGCCATAGGTTTTTTTAAGGCTCTTTCTCTCTGTGTGTCTCTGTCTCTGTCTCCCTCTCTCTGTCTCTCTGTCTCTCTCCCTCTCTCTCTCAACTAACCAGAAACTCACTATGTAACCTAGGCTGGCCTCAAACTCACAGAGATCCAACTGCCTCTGCCTCCCCATCACTGGGATTAAAGATGAATTCACCCACAAGAGCTTAAATACCCTAGGGCCTACAGGTTGCCACCTATTGGTACTTGTGTGGGTGCAACTGTAACCAGATGTATGAACATGGACCTGAATGTTTGAATGTGGACAAGGGTGTGTGCTTTCCCTAGCTAGTGGCTTCCCCACATCCCTCTGAGGACATGTGGATTTTTCTAGGGGCTCCCCACAAAGGTGAAACTCAAAACCTTTATTCCCATCAGTTTGTGTATTTCCCCAGGGACTCCGATAACTCAGTTTCACGCTGGCTGAGCTTCGCTACAGATCGCCTAACATCCCTGTCCACCTCTTTTTCCCTTTATGTATGTACGTGTGTGTACGTGCACACCCATGGTACATACCACAGAGTATGTGTGTGAGAGAGAGAATAGCTTGTAGGAGTTAGTTCTCTCGCTCTACTGTGTAGATCTCAAGAATCAAACTCAGGTCTTCAGGCTTGGCAGCAGGAGCCTATACCTGCTGATCCACCTCACAGACCTGGGTTCGTCTATTCATGGCCCCTCTCCTTCTCTTCAGTGAGCCTAGTACCAGGATCACCTCCCTGCACAAAGGCTTTTGTCAGCTGGGTCCCTGCATGTCCCTGGCATCTTGTGGCATTTTGTAAGTAAGCACCAGCCCTCTGCAACACAGTAGTGCCATTTGTGAACAGAATTGCCACCCCCACTACAGATCCTGTCACAGGTGGAACTTCCCTTATAAAACCCATTTTCTCTTCTAGCAAGTGGGAGGGTGTGGTCCTAGCACCAACCAAGGAACACTGGGTGTACAGGCCTGCCCTGGCTGCAGAGCCAAAGCCTGGTGCCTGCCATGTTTCTGGAATCCCTCCCTTAGTTTCTCCACAGTGGGAAGATATACATTCTAGATGTATGGGCCAGTTCATGGAAATGCAGATATCTTTGGCCCCCAGGGAGAGAGTGATGGCTTGCACACCCTTTTGCCCCTAACTTCTGTGAAGGGATCTATAGTGGGCCAGCACCTTTGGTCCATGCCTGGGTGTGAGCAGGTGACAACCAGATCCGGGGGTGGGGGTGGGGGAGCTAGGGGATGTTGTAGCTCAACTGTGCTGGTGTTTACTCATGGCCACTATGTGATGGTCCTGTGACTGGCCTGTGACCTACAGGTAGGTCCCAGGTTCTGTTTCCATTGCCTGCTGCAAGCTGGCATGCCCCTGTCTCCACCTCCCTGGGTACTCCTGAGTCAGCCCTCCTGGGTTTTGGAGGCCTTTCTGATGTCAGTGCTAGGGCTCACAGGGCAGCTCTGGCATCTCCACTGCATCTGTTCCCATTTGTAGGGATGGTGGGCCCATACCGTACACTGCAAAGAGAATACAATACCTACGTCCAGCGCCTTGCAGCGCCCAGACTGCCGGGTAGAGGGACAAGGTGAAGCTGGTGGGGGATGGGCTGTTACATCGTATTAGAGCTCTGGCTTTTCCCTGAGGTTTTTCTGCACTATGCCACAAGCAGAGGCCCCGTCTCCAGTGGCCCATCAGCCTCCAGGGTAGCATCATGGCTTTGGATCACAGAAATCTAGTTCTTGGCCCTTGTTAGCTGGACGTGCAGGCAGCACCTTCATGGCCAGATGGAAAGCACAGGCTCTTGTCTCCAGGTGTGGGAGCCAGCTGGCTTCTGGGAGGGCAAGGAGTGCCATCCTTTTTGCTGCCTGGCAACTGTCTCCTGGGAAATGGCCCACTGGGTGCCAGGGCTGTTGATGGAGCATCCTGAGATCCTGAGGGGGCCCAGGTAACGGGTTGTTCTGCCTCCATAGCGCCTCAGGCATTGGCCCCAAGGAAGGCACACTTGTCCCAGGGTCATCAGCAGTCCCCTCCTGACAGGGGAGGATGAGAGGTTGGGATGGAGCCTGGGGACAGTCTGGGTAGGGTCAGGAAAATTAACTATCTAGCATCCTGCTGCTGCCCCAGCTGACCGGCAACTGATGCTGAATAGCACCCTGCTTCCTACCATGCACAGGAAGCGAGCTGAGAGCACATTTCCTGTCACATGGCTACTGAGAAAGCACATGGTTACTCGCCTGTCCTTTCTCTCTCTGACACTGACACATGGGAGGTGGAAAATGACATATTCCACAGTTCACGTATGGAGGTCAGAGGACTACTGGAGTCAGGGATGTTCTCTCCTTCCACCATGAGGGTCCTGGGATTGAACTCAGGGTGTCAGCCTTGGTAGCAGGCACCGTTGTCTGTTGAGCCGTCTCACAAACCTAGCTTGTTGATGTTGTTTTTAAAATAAGATTTCTTTTTATCCTATACGCATGGGGGTTTTCCCTTCATCTATGTCTGTGTACCACATGTATGCCTCATATCCTCAGAGGCCAGGAGAGGGCATCAGATACCCTTTTGATTGTGTTTCAGGTGGTTGTGAGCTGCCATGTGGGTGCGGGGTACTGAGCCCTGCTCCCTTGGAAGAGCAGCCAGTGCTCTTAGCCAGTGAGCCGTCTCTGCAGCCCCAGCTTTTGTTTTTTGAAATAGAGTTCTGTCATGTATTCCATAGCTTTGAATTCTCGTACAGCTCAGGCTGGACGTCAGCTCACAGCAACTCTCCTGCTTCAGCCTCCCCAGTTCTGGGATTACAGGAATGTACCACCCGACACGTGGCTTCTGAAGTTTCTTTACTGGAGAAAGCACCTGGCCAGGCAAACCAAAAAATGCAGAGCCATTGGGAAAAGGGGCTGACATGGGACAGTGCGCTAGCCCCACGCCCTCCAGCGCCCTTCTGTCTACCCCCCTGTGCTCTCAGGCGCTGCTGCTGCTGGGGGCCGCCGCCCTGGCCTGCTTGGCCCTAGACCTCCTTTTCCTACTCTTCTATTCCTTCTGGCTGTGCTGCCGGCGGCGGAAGACCGATGAACACCTGGAAGCAGACTGTTGCTGCACGGCCTGGTGTGTCATCATCGCCACGCTGGTCTGCAGGTGAGCCAGAGAGGGCGGGACGGGGCCTATGACTTTCAGGAGGGAGGGGGCTGGAGGCGGGATGGCTTGAGGATGTGGCTAGGAAGACTAGAGGATGGGGCGGGAAGTCTGGGCGGGACCAGAAGATAGGTGGGACCCAGGGCCTGGAGGTTAGGGTGGGGCTGTGAAGTGGGCAGGTTGAAGAGAGGGTATGGGGAAGGGGCAAGGAGACTGAGGGACGTGGGAGCCAGGACTAAGTCAATGGGAAGGCTTGGCTGCAAGTTCTGCATCCGACGATGGGTCTGCCTCCCCCAGCGCGGGCATCGCAGTGGGATTCTACGGCAACGGGGAGACCAGCGATGGTGTTCATCGAGCCACCTACTCGCTCCGCCATGCCAACCGCACAGTGGCAGGGGTCCAGGACCGCGTGAGTGGCTGGCTGGGGAGCGTCCTGTCTGCTCTGGAACCTTCTGTGTGCATGTGGGTGATCTGGTAATGCAGGTGACAGCTCTGCACCTGGCTCCAGTTCCTATTGCTCCTCTGGCAGGTGTGGGACACGGCTGCAGCCCTGAATCGCACAGCAGAGCCCAACCTGCAGAGTCTGGAGCGGCAGCTGGCCGGGCGACAGGAGCCACTGAGGGCTGTGCAGAGGCTGCAGAGCCTACTGGGGACACTGTTGGGTTACACCGCTGCCATCCCCTTTTGGAGGAACCCCGGTGTATCACTGGAGGTGCTGGCTGAACAGGTGGACCTCTATGACTGGTACAGGTGAGCCAGGTGGGGTGGACCCGTCCCCCTAGGATCCACCCCACCTGGGTAGAACATCACCCTCTTGAACTACTTTGTACAGAGTGGCTGAGGCTTATAGGTTGCCACCCACCCATAGCAGGAATCCCTGTGGGAGGAGGCACTGTCTTTTTCAAGAACTGATCCAAGTCAGGCTTGGTTGTATATAGCTGTAATTCCAACACTGTGGAGACTGAGGCAAAGGGGGAGTAGAAGCACCAGCTTGGGCTAAATGGCAAGACCCTGCCCCAAAAGATGTCTTAGGCTGTTTACCCAGCCCTTACCCATGCCTGGCTCCTGTGCGTATCCACAGGTGGCTGGGGTACCTGGGCCTGCTGTTGCTTGATGTCATCATCTGCCTCCTGGTGCTGGTGGGCCTCATCCGCAGCTCCAAGGGCATCTTGGTTGGGTGAGTCAGAGGGGAAGGTGGGTCCCTGTGGCTACAAGGTGACGTCACTGTCCGGCCTGAGCAGCCATCTGGCACTGTTGAGCCCCCATAACTCTCCAGCTGCTGCCGGGGGCACCTGCATGCCTCCCAGGGTTGGAAAGATAAATGTGCAGAGGCTGAGGGTCAGGTGACGATGCCACAAACAAAGCCAGGGACCAGGCACTCTTCGGTGTGTGTGAACGCCCCTGAGGAGCTCCGGGAGAGGGGACGGTGGGGCAGATGTGTGGACACTGAGGGAAGACGTGCAGGCTGCTGTGCAGGCCCGCAGCTCAGTGGTGTGTGGAAGAGCAGGGAGGCCTGTGTGGCTGGAGCAGGCCTGAGGGAGGGGAGAGCGAGCCGTGCATAGGGACGGGGTGGCACTGGCGCAGTTGCAGGGCTTCATATGATCAAGGCCTCGTATACACAGGGTGTAAGAGACCTAGGGTGACACAGGGTGTTCTACCCCAGCCTAGGTTGCTGTTACTTGTCCCCATCTGTGCACTCCCTTGGTGAGTCTCACCCCGGCCAGGAGGAGCATTTGTGCAGGTCCAGGCCTTGGGGGGCTCTGAGACCTGGTTACTGGAAGACTTACCATCCTGTGTGGGTCAGACTCGCCCAGGCCCAGGCCCAAGCGGCCTGGCATTTTGTACTGCAGTTACGTGTGTGGTATGCCCTTATCCCCTATCCCATCCTGATGGGCCTTCTTTGCCTCAAGGGTCTGCTTGCTGGGTGTCTTGGCCCTGGTCATCAGCTGGGGTGCACTGGGCTTGGAGCTGGCCGTGTCTGTGGTGAGTGGCAGGGGGATCAGGAATCCCCATCTGATAGGCTTTGGTTGGGAGAAGAAAGCCACACTTCTATCCCCCCCGCCATGTTTCCCTGGGTCATACAGATCCATGCTCCCTGTATTCCCCTCTGCCTCCCTAAACTAAGGGCAGACCCTGGGAATAAGGGGCAAAGTGTCCCTGAGGTCTCTGGGTGATCATGGCTTGCTTCTGAAGCCCAGCTTGGTCCCCTGTCCTCTCTTGCTTCACCCATTTCAGGGTTCCAGCGACTTCTGCGTAGACCCTGACACCTTTGTGACCAAGATGGTGGAGGAGTACTCAGTACTGAGTGGGGGTAAGTCTGTGTGGGACTGGAGTGACCCAGACAGCAAGGTGGACAAGGCTGAGGCCTTTAACTCCAGGTTTCTTCCTAGTGGGCAGCCAGGGGGAGTCTGTGTCTCTAGTGGATGCCTGAGGCAGAGGTCCTGCTGTATTAGTGAGGCAGTAATTGGGAGCAGAGGGTGGGAAGCCAGGAGGTTGGGCCACAGTTGGGAGTATGGGCTTTCTTGTAGTGGAGAAGAGAGAGAGTCCCAAGACATGTGATAACCCTTGTAAAAGCTCCCTGAGCTTGGGCACAGTACACACTGGGAATCCCGTATTCGGGAAGCTGCAAGAGTAAGAGCTTGAGTTCCAGGCCTTGGGGTGAAACTGTCTCGGAAACACACACACAAAAAAAAATAAACAAAAGCTTCCTGGGGCTGCTGGCTGACATGAAGGGCAAAGGAAGAGGGAAGCCGTTAGAACCACAGGCCCAGACGGTGGGGGCAACGGAGGCTTGAGCAGGTGGAAGTAGGCAGTGGTGTTCCCTCAAGGTGGGACTAACAGGACTTCCTGACACACTGGATACAAGAAAAAAAGAGGAGCTGTGTCCCTGGTCCTGCAGCCCCTACGCTCCTAGAAACCTAATGGGATGCAGATCCTAAGGCTGAGTGTGGGTGCTGGCATAGAGAGCCCACTCTACCCACTGCTTCCAAGCGGGAAGACCCACCCCTGAGTGTCCTACACACTTCAGGGGCCCACCCCTAAGGACAGGGTCTCAGCTCAGTCACAGTCTCCCTGGAGGTCACTGCTCAGCCTCACACACATGCACAAACATACATGCACGTGTGTGTGAGTGCATGTACATACAAGTATGTGCAAGCACATGGATACGGACATGCATGGTTTGCAAGCATTGGCACATGTAGATACTCAGACACAGGCAGGCACACTTGAGGACAATGTGAATGCGTACTTTCATGTATGTGCCTCAGACAGGCCCTACCCTCAGCACTCGCCTCTCTCTTTTCACAGACATTTTGCAATACTACTTGGCTTGCTCACCTCGTGCCACCAACCCCTTCCAACAGGTGAGAGCCAGGCTGGTCCTGAGTGGCCAGTGCCAGGGACACAGGATGTGGGAAAAGGCTGAAAGGGCCATGGGCTGAGCCTGGAAGCCCAACTATCCAAAGCTGCTGGCCCCTTAGGCACTGTGCAAACCCAGCTCAGAGGATGCTAATCTGTTGCCCATCCTTGGGATGCCTTTCATTCTTTGGGGGTTCCCTCAGCAGCCCTGCTGGACAGAGGCTAGCTGACTGGCAAATGTGGACAAGTAAAGGAGGAGCCCTGGGGACACAAATGCCACCTGTTCAGGGTTCCCTGTGGTGGCATTTGAAGAGTTTGGCAGCCCTGGCTAGTCATGCCCTGTACCTCTTACTTGTTACATCAGTTGAGTGAGAGCATCCTTTGCACCCTGAAGATACATCTCCATTGAGGGTGCTTTACCTTGCTCTCTGGAGTGGGTACAGGATTTTGTTACCACCTCAGGGGTGTGTATCATCCCCTGTGTGGACACCTTCAGGGTGAAGGGGTGTCCTGTAGCCTTACAGGGTGGAGTCAGGCATAACTTGGGGTCTTGCGGACTGCCTGTGTGGGGAGGGTTTGGGTAGGAGAGCAGCTGACAGCTGCTGGATTGTACACTTCTCTGTGGAGCAGAAGCTGTCTGGCAGCCACAAGGCTCTGGTGGAAATGCAGGATGTCGTGGCTGAGCTGCTGAGGACTGTCCCGAGGGAGCACCCAGCCACCAAGGTGAGGGGCTGTGGGCAACAGTGGTCTTGACTGATGGAGACCTGAGCATGCTGATTGTTCCCCTTCTTTTCCCAGAGTCTTTGGCCCTCCCTTCCTACACCCCCCCCCCTTTTCCCTGGGCATTTTTCACGGGTTTATAAACTATTTGGGAGGCTGCTGAGGTGGTTAGAACGTAAAGGTCTCTGTCGCCAAGAATTCAATCCCTGAGACCTCACATGGTGGAAGGAGGGAAGTGACTCCTGCAAGTTGTCCTCTGACCTCAGTGTGCTCACTATGGCTGTATGCACACTCACACACCACGCTCTTTATACCAAAGAGTGATCCCATAATCATAGGGTTCAGGAAGCTGAGGCAAGATCTTGAATTCTAGGCTAACCTGGGTTACATGGCCAAACCTTGTCTCATATTTGCAAGGCCTGGCTGGGTATGGTGGCACATATCTGACTCTCAGCACTAGGGACGTGGAGGCTGGCGGGTCAGAAGTTCAAGGTCATCCTCAGCTACATGGGGAGGCTGTAATGAGACCGTATGACTCTCGGTTAAGGCCAGAGGTCTGGCTTAGTGGTCAAGTACTTGTTAGGCATATGCAAGGCCCTAGATTCCATCCCAGCACTGCACAAGAAATGAAACAGGGTCTCTCTCCAAACTGTGGCTTTCTAGGGTTTTGGGTTGGGCCTTTAGTCCACGATTGATTTGGGGACACAACTCAGCCCGTCACACAAGGTTTTGTTTCCCCAATACAAACTCCCAGATCATAGATGATCCTTTAATAATGTTTTACAGCCAGGTGAGATGACACATTCTTTTAGTACCAGCGTTCAAGAGGCAGCAGGATCAGGTGGATCTTTGTGAATTCAAGAATAGCCAGGGCTACATAATGAGACCCTGTCTTTGAAAAAAAGGCTCTTGCTGCTCACCAATCCTCCTGGCTGTGCTTCCGGAGTGCTGGGATTGCAGGCTCATTGAGCACAACCAGCCTAAAATCTGGCTTTTGTAAAATTTGTTTTTAGTTTTATTTTATGTGCATGGGTGTTTTGCCTGCATGTGTGTGTCTGGGACTTGTGCAGGCCAGAGAAGGGCATCAAATCCCCTGAAACTAGAGTCACAGGCAGTTGTGAGCCACTGTGGAGGTGTTGAAAATCTGACCTTGGCCCTCTGAAAGAGCAGCCAAGGTTCTTAACTGCTGAGCCTTCTGCTCCCTAAAATACAGTTTTTAAGAGCAAAAGGAGGCCCAGTCAGGGACATATAGTAAGTCAATTGTCTCCCATGACAGTGAAGGAAATCAAGCCAGGTGTGCTAGTGCCTGCCTTTAATCCAGCCCTGAAGGGGCTGAGGCAGGAGGATTGTGAGTTTGAAGCCAGCTTACAGTAGGTGGCAAGACTTTTTGACAATGAAATTAATTAAATTGGACAGGTTATCTGTGGGTTCTCTGGTCCCCGTGTTTCTAGGCACAGAACCTAGGCCTGCCATTTTTTTCTGAAGACTCTCAGGGGATGCCTGGAGACGGGGCTTAGGGAGAGCATGGACACAGGGCTCGGGGGTGGTCTGTGTGACTAGTTTTGAGATGGAAGGAAACTGGAGGCTTCCCAATCATGCTGACATAAAGCGGTGTGTGACTCTCCACCCCAGGATCCCTTACTCCGAGTCCAGGAAGTGCTAAACGGCACGGAGGTGAATCTCCAGCACCTCACGGCCCTGGTGGACTGCCGCAGCTTGCACCTGGTAAGGCCACTGGGCATCTGGGGACGGGGGGGGGGGGGGGGGGGGGGAGGAGCCACCAGAAAGAGATTCATGGTCCCTGGGTTGATGTGGGTCACCTACACTGCCTCATGTGAGGAACATGCAGTGTGGCCTAGCAAGTTGATCTCACTGCCTGTCCCCAAGTCTCTCCCTGTCATTGGCTTTGTGTCCCATTCTTCCTGCTCAGGACTATGTGCAGGCATTGACAGGCTTCTGCTACGATGGTGTCGAGGGCCTCATCTACCTGGCCCTCTTTTCCTTCGTCACAGCCCTCATGTTCAGCTCCATCGTCTGCAGCATCCCACATACCTGGCAACAGAAGAGGTGAGGCTTTCACTGGGGTCCTGGAGCTTGGCTCTTCTGGATACTCAGATTCTGTTTCCTCTTAATACTTTACAGGTCTCTGAAACATGTTGGAGGCTATAATGATGGTGACAGAGATTCCCATCCAGTGCAGACAAGGGGCAGAGCCAGGCTCTCCTGCCCCCTTGTGTTGACTTTATGCCCTGCACCCTGAAGACTGCATCAGAATTTGTCTTCTGTGGTCCCAGGGACAGATGTACAGCTGTGGGTGGTGAGGACTTCTGTAGGACGATGGGACCTTTGTATCCCTGTCTTTGAAGTCAGGTGTCCTTGTGGCTCCTGCCTCAGTCTCCTCAGCCAAGGATTAGACTGAGGAGACATGGAGCGTTGGCTTCTTCCTTCCTTGACTCATCTCCTAGCCCTTTTATCTCATTCCACTGGAGCCATAATGCTGTTTGTGGTCCAGCTAAGATGGCAAGTATGTCAGCTCAGGCTTGTCCCCTGTGCCTGTTCCCTGTGTTGTTCTGCTCCTTTCCCTCTGAGTGTGATGGACATAGTGATCATAAAGCAGGTGACAGTGCCTGGGTGAGGTGGCACACACCTTTAATCCCAGCACTTGGGAGGCAAAAAAGGCAGGCAGATAGCTGTGACTTTAGGGCCAGCTTGGTCTACATAGAAAATTAAAAGTTCTAGGACATCCAGAGCTACAAAGAGAGACTTTGTCTCAAAACAAACAAGGAGAGAGAGGGAAAAAAAAAAAAAAAAAGAGGGTGGTGATGATGGTAAGGATGTGGAGGATGGACGGTTTGTGGTGATGATGGTAATAGAGCTGGTGTTTGGTGGTGCTGGAAACGGTGGTGATAGAAGTCACGATGATAGTGATGCAGCAGTGAATAACAATGAATGTGCTTGTGATGATGGGGATAATGGCAATGACAATTCTGAAGGTGATGGTGGCAATTGTGACAGTGGTCTTGGTCTTGGTAATAGCCTGATGGTAATTGTGATTTTGGTGGGGATGGTGACAGTACTGACGGTGGTGATAATGACGGATTGTGGTGAATGTAGCAGTCATGTTGGTGATGATGATGTTGATATGATAATGGTGACAAAGATGATTCTGGTAATGGTAATACTTGCAGTTATGATATAACTGCTGATGAGATGTTGGGGACAATGGTAGAAGTCATGGTGACAGTGAGGATGGTGGTAAGTTGTGGTTGTGATGATGGTGGTAATGATGACTGTGGTGATTTTGGTGACAATAGAGATGTGATGGTAGGGGTTGTGATGCTGGGGATGGTGGCGGTCATGATGTGACAGTGGTGTTGTGGTTGATAGTGATGAAGATGACAGCAGTAGTAATTGTAGTGATGATAGCAATGGTGAGATGCATGGACACTGTAGGAAGTAGCTTCAAGCCCAGGAACTCCATGTTTGTGTTCAGGTCCTGACTCTACCCTTGCTTACTGTGTGAGTGAGCAGGTCACTACATTGCTCGTGTTGTAAAGCAAGCTATAAGAGGACACATGTTGTGGAGCCAGAGTGATGGATCAGGGTGAAGGGTGCACACTGCTCTTCCATAGGACCCAAGTTTAGTTCCCAGCACATATGCTGGGCAGCTAACCATTGCTTAAACTCCAGCTCCAGGGAAGCCAGTGCCCTCTTCTGGTCTCCACAGGCACCGGCACTCATGTACACAAACCCCCTCCCCACAACAGTACACATAATTAAAAGTAAAAAATATGGGCTCAGTGGTTAAGAGCACTGGCTGATCTTCCAGAGGACCTTGGTTCAATTCCCAGCATCCACTTGGTGGCTTACAACTGTCTGTAACTCCAGTTCCAGAGGATCCGACACCCTCACACAGACATACATGCATGTAAATAACTAAGCATGGTGGCACATATCTTTAATCCCAGCACTTGGGAGACAAAGGTAGGCAGATCTCTGAATTCGAGGCCAGCCTAGTCTACAAAGTAAGTTTCAGGTCAGAGAAGCCCTGTCTCGAAAAACAAAAAATAATAAAAACTAATTCCCCCCCCCCCCGTTTTTGTTTTTTGTTTTTTTCGAGTGTGACCCACCACTCCTGGCTAATAATTCTCATTTTAAAGGACACATTGAGGGCCAGGTGAGAGCTGCGTGTGAAGGTCCTGCTGGGGCTCAGCTATGGTCACGCCAGAAGCTCATGATTCCCACCTCTGAGTGCTACCTGCCCACTGGTCTAGCCTTGCATTCTGTGTGGGATAGGAAAGCACAAGGCTGCTGAACAACAGCAGAAACCTGGCCCACAGCCAGGAACAGGGAACAGGGCAGGTTACCTCAGGCCACCAAAGGTTGAGTACAAGCCCCACAAAGCCAAAAGAGAACCCCCTAACCCAGGGGAAGACGCATCTGAGAGGACAAGGTTGGCCAGCGCATAGCCGTGCCACACGCCAATGCCCCAGGAGGACACTAAGCCTATGCCACTGTTCCTCCCTACAGAGGCCCGGATGAGGATGGAGAAGAGGAGGCCGCTCCAGGGCCACGGCAGGCACACGACAGCCTTTACCGAGTGCACATGCCCAGTTTGTACAGTTGCGGTAGCAGCTACGGCAGCGAGGCCAGCATCCCGGCCGCCGCCCACACTGTCAGCAATGCTCCGGTCACCGAGTACATGTGAGTTGGGGAAGCTGGGGATAGGCAGAGCTAGGTCCAGGGACAGTGCACATACGCAGCTGAGGGGCCTGCAGACTGTCGGGTCGTCATAGCTGCAGGGAGGTGCTGCAGGGTGGGGGTTCTCTTCAAGGCTGGGCAGCCAGGGCTTCAGGTGGCACTAAGTGTCCCCTGTGACCAGGTGAACCCAGTCAAGAGCCATGAAGTGGCCACACAGCCAGGTGGAGGGTGTGTGCTTTTGTGGTAGGCAGATGACCCGGTGGAAGTGGGCTCTGAGTGCCGGGGAGGCCGGCATACGTTGAGGACTGTTCTGAGCTTTATCCTGGAAAGTTAGCATTGGCAGAGCTGGCCAGGCCTGGTACCTGTCTGGCTCTAAAGTGGTCACACTTGTAATCCCATCAACCACTCAGTTGGTAGAGGCAGGGGAATCAAGAGTGCAAGGTTATCTTTGGCTACATAGCAAGTTTGAGACCAGCCTGAGCTACATGAGACCCTATCTGAAACAAAGTACAACAAAAAGATGGACCTTTCCCCCCAGAGTAAGGATCATATGGCCCATGATGGTTCACATGCTCTCTCTCCCCTTCCACTCAGGAGCCAGAATGCCAATTTCCAGAATCCCCGCTGTGAGAACACCCCCCTCATTGGGCGCGAGTCCCCACCGCCCTCAGTAAGTCTCAGGGCAGGAGGGTGGGTGGGGAGACTCTTGGGCTTGAGGGCTCTGCCTATCTGCCACCATGATACCCTGGTGTCGGCTCTCACAGGCTGCCTGGGCTCTTGAGAAAGCTGTGTGCCTGTAATACCAGGGCCTAAATAAATGGGGCTGGGTGGGCCCTTCAGCTCTTGCCACCTTTGAGGAGCCTGGGGGTCAGCATGGGCAATCTTGAAGTCCTGCTGCCTTGCAGGTCAGCCCTTTGTTCTTTCTTGAGATGAGCAAGTGGCCAGCAGGGCCCTAGTACTCTCTTCCCATTTTCCCCCTGAGCTTCCCAAAGCTTTGGCTAGGCAGCTCCACCATTAGAGCCTTGTTTCCTCCCTCCCTCCCTTTCTCTAAGCCCCCACCCATGTCTTAGCCCCAGGCTGTTCTAGCCCAGGCCTGAAGTCCCTTCCAAGCCCCAGGAGTGAGATGTGGGCAAAAGAATCAGGGTGGATTTGGTGCCAAAGAGTAGGTACTGTTGGAAAGGTAGGGGGCCCCGGGGCTTCCCCTAGGACTGGGCCGTGAGGACAGGATCTAAGAGACTGAAGGCCGCCTTGTTTAAGGAACACCCTTAGTGTGTAGTGTGTCAGCTACATCACCACAATGTCCCCTAGCACAGGGCTAGGCTGGGGTGCCCAGGACCTGGACCAGGGATTGTCAGGTCTCTGTGTCACACTCAACCACCCTCACCCTTACCCTCTGGTCTTGTGGTCCACTTGGGGCCAGCCACGCCTGGAGTTGAGGACACCCCTCTCTCTCTCTCTCTCCCCTGCATCCCTCCCACCCTGGGCCCTCCTAGCGCTACCTGGCTGCCCTGGACTCTGGCAGCCATGCAGGCTGGCAATTTAAACCCATGGACAGCGCCCGAACACTGTGGTAGCTGTACCCTCAGAGTGACAGGTACTGACCCGCCCAGCCCCCATCCCGCACGGCTGCCCGCCTGTACCTCCGAGCCTTGTACCCTCTCTCTGCTCACCCACTGTCCTCCATCCACTGTTCAGGGGACCAGAGCCCTCTGAATGGTCCTGAGCCCACAGTGAGCCCCCATTCCAGGCTTGACTCTCATCAGCTGCCGGTGGTCCAGCCCGTTTTGTCACTTCCACCCAAGACCCTATGTGCATCTGACCTTGGATGCAGAGCTGGGTCTCTGGGTATGCAGTCCTGCATGTTGGCCCATGCGCTCAGGTACACAGAGGCGCTCATATGGGTATGAACCTCTGCCCCCTATCCCAATGCCTGCTCGAGCTCCTCCAGGCCTCTAGGCTGCCATCTTCCGTCCCTTCCCACCAGTTTCCCCGTGCCAACCCCCTCGTCACCGCTGCATGTCCACGGAATGACATGGCTCTGGGCCCCTGCTCCTCCCACCCCTGCTCCATGGCCGCTGCTTGCGACCTTAACCTAGAATGTTTCAGGAAAGCACTCAGGACTCCAAGGAGCATTGTCCCTCTCTAGGGACTGTGAAGCCAGCCTGTGCTCCCTAGGGTGGGTGGGTGGGGTCAGCCTGTCCGATCTTCTGAGCAATGGTAACCTTTGTCCCTGTCACAGGCATGCAAACTCTTTGCATACTGCCTGACATTGGCACATCCTCTGCAAACACACACACACACACACACACACACACACACACACACACACACACACTAAACCTTCACACTATGGTACTTTTAGGGTGGCCAAGATCTGCAGGCCATCTCAAGTCACACATTCTGGAGGAATTCCTGTTCTCATCTGAGGGGTGGGGCAGAATCACTCTAGCCTGACACTACCCCTCTCTCCATTCCTGGGGGTGATGGAGTTGAATGGCTGGGGAGGACGCTTAAGCCTCCTAATTCTAGTGAACTCACCAGCTATATGTAGGCTGTGGCCTAGCTTCATGTGGACCAGGCCTGGGAGGCCTTGTCTTGGCCCAGGACAGAGCTCTGAAGCAGAGGTGTAGAGATGGGATCTGTGTGGCCTTCAGGCTCTTGGTGTGTGTGATGTAGTTAGGGCCTTTGAGGTGGCAAGTATCTAATTAGGGCTCTAAAAGTGGCTTGGTGACTGAATGTACTTAATTGGGAAAGGGAGCTTGCCTCTGTGGCCCAGCCTGGGTTATAGAGGCTAACCTTCGTCCTTCCATAATCTGTACTCAGTCCCTGGTCCTGGTCCTTGCCCTGGGCCAGCAGCCCTTACCTTTGGATCTGCCAACCATGCGCTGTACTGCTGTATTCTGCCCCCTAAGGGTCGGCTCTGGCTCACCCTACCAAGGACCACATCAAGGAGGCTACTACTGGCTGCTCAGCCCTGCCCAGGGACCCAGCTGACCCTGCTCCCTCCCTCCCTCTCTCCTCCAGTACACCTCCAGCATGAGAGCCAAATACCTCGCCACGAGCCAGCCTCGCCCCGACTCCAGCGGCAGCGGGCACTAGACCGCACACCGGCCAGCCATCTGCCCCCCACGTGCCAATTGCCCCACCCTTCCTAAGCCAGCACTGCTGCTTCCACCCTGCCGGACCCTCTGCAAGCCACACCGGGCCAGCCCTAGGCACCTCTGAAGCCCCCCCACTGTACCCACCCTGCAGGAGGCATGTAGGTGCCCAGCATGAGCTCCAGGCCAGCCTGGGAAGTGAGGCTTCTGGGCACTCACCTGGACAGACACTGCCACCAGCAACCCGACCCTGCCTGCCTCCATCTCCCCTTGGCCCTCTGTCCTCTTGGGCTCTCTGAGCCCTGCTCTGTGCCAGGTGCTGCCACCCCCCATGTTCCTTCTGCAGGTGGCCCTCCATGCTGTCCCTCGCACTCTGGGAGCTCGCTTCCCTCCAGCTGCACCGAACCTTTCCTGATATTGTCCTGGCCCCTGGCACTTCTGAGGATCATGTCTCCGTTCATAGGCAGAGGAAGCCCCTGTGCCTGGTGCCCAGCTCATCACTGAGTGGCTCCTTCACACTCTTGTCTTTGCAACCTCCAGCGCCTGCCTTCTTTTATCCATCCGGCTTACTTGGCCCTTCCTGTCAGTTCTGAGCTGCCTCCAGGGTGGGGCTCTTCCTTCACCTCCTACCCACACGGCTCTCTCCCTCAGCGTCCAACCAGCCCTCCCTGGACAGCAGGTGCCACACAGAGCCCAGGTCACTCCCTGGCCTCTCCGCGCTGGCCACCTTCTTGGTGCCAAACCCTCTTTCCCACTCATCCCGAAGAGTGGCAGCTTCGTCCCATTTGTTTTTTGCACTGACCACATTTGTCATCTCCAGGGCAGTCTGGGACATAGGCGAAGCAGGACACTGCCCACTTCCCTTCCTTCTCAGTTTCATTTTTGCCCAGGACAAGCGGCAGTGCCCTCTGGAGCCCTGGGGGCTGGACCTGAGATGGCTGTGAAAGTGCCCCCAGCCTCAGAATGCCGCTGTTGGGACTAACCACTAACCTCACTCAGCTGCCACGGGCGCTCCTGGCTGACCCTGAGCCAGCAAGCATGACCCTAAGTCTAGCCCGAAGCATGGCTAGAGTGGTCATTCCTTTGTGGGGTGCTGCCAGGGAGGGGCCAGGCCCACAGGCAACTCAAAGGGCCTAGAGACCCCTCCCCAGGCAGGCGCTGCCCCAGGAGGAGCATGTCCCAGGGACTGTGGACTGGAGCCCATGTGGCCCCAGTCCCTCCTGGGGACACTGCCCCCCTAAGGTGCTTTCGGCTTTAGTGTGTAATGTTTGCTGTACTTCCTGCTATGAGGGGCCAAATTAGCTCCGGAATCGGGATCCAGAGCCCAGCCAGCCAGCGTGAGCTCTGGCCTGTGGGATGGGCAGCATGTGCAGGTAGCCAAGGCTGGGGCCCTGTGGCAGGAGGTGGTTTACAGGACCTGTGGTCCTCCTGGAGCAACCTGGCAGCTACGGATCCCGGAACCCCACCCTGGGCTTGAGCTCTCTGAAGAAGAGAGATTCCACTTCCCCATCTCAACCAACCCCTTCCATTGTGCTGGTGTCTGGGACCAAAAGGAGTAGGCAGAGGACTTAATGGGCCTAGGGGTCCAAGTCTGGGCAACTGTAGTTCCTGAGCATAACCAAACCTCAGTGGAGGGGACTCTGCCTCTGGCTCCACCTGATCCGGTGCCAGGAACCTACAGGGCCGTGGAGGCCCAGCGGTGGCCAGTCTGCCTACTATGGGTATGTTCCTGGCCTCAGGTTCAGGGGGAGGCATGGGGCACCCCCACCTGGGTGCCTGGGTGTGCCCTGGGGCCTCTCAGAAGCACAAACGCTGCCCCCTGGCCGTGAGCTGGCCACAAGGTGAATGTATATAGCATGAGAGGCGGGCATTGCCCGGATGTGGCTGTGAACTTGTGCTGTCTTGGGAGTCCTGACCGTCCGTCGTGTGCGTGCGTGCCCCCATCTGTGACTTTCCACTCACCGAGGCTGAAGAAAGGAAACAAGGGGAAATGAAAAGGGGTTCCTACCCTGACCTCCGTGGAGGAGACGGCTCCTGCCACTGTGGGTTTTTTTGTTTTCTGATTTTTGGAGTGCCACTTGTCTCCTCAATCCTAGTAGTCCCTCTGCTTCTCCAGGGGATGAGCAGTTCAGCGCCACCTGGCTGTGACTGGTTCCCACTCCCCCTAACCCCAGGGGGACCCTACAGCTCTGGTGGGTAACAAAGAAGGCTGAGCCACCAGACCCAGGCCCCTCGCCAAACCAGGAGGAGCTGGGACAGCGATGTTGATGGGACTGGTGGCCACCATGCCCCACAAACACACTCTGGCTTATGTAAGACAGAGCTTAAGTAGCAGATCCTGGCTTGGAACATTCTCTCTACTTTACTCCCAGTGCTCACCCACCCTATCTCACTATGCAATGCCTGCCCTGCCCAGGTCTCAGCTCTGCCCAGCCCAGCCCAGCCGGGGGCCAGCTCCTGGGCCAAAGGTGACCAGGGTCTCTTGTTTGTTTTCCTCATAAAGATGGTGTGCCATGCCCTTTCCCATATATATGATTTTGTGAGATTTGCCTCCCAGTTCCTGTCCTGCCTGCATCTGCCCCCAGTGGACAATGTCATCTGGATTGAGCCAGCCCCAAGTTCCCCTCCAGCCTCTGTAGGGCCATGGCTGTGTGTTACTGTTGCTGTGTTTTTGTTTTTTTAAACTGGGTTTGGGGTTTGATTTTTATTTCCTTGGGGAACTTTATTTTTTTTTTGGCAAATAACTAAAGTTCTTGTCCATGTAATTTCTGTGATCTCTATTCAGCTTGGGTTTCATGTTTTGAAATAAACAATTTTAAAAAAACAGGTCTATCTTTCCTGAACTGCCCTGGAGGTACACAGGGTGTTTTCCTGTAGTCTGTGGGGAACCATATTCAGTACAGCAAGAACAGGCAGGACCTCATTGGCTGGGAGAGAGTCATAGAGAGTGGCACCATCTACTAACATTTTAACTGAATTGCTCTAGCTGCTGAGTCAGGAAGGGATAAAGGATAGAAGCAGGAGACCAATCAGCTTTATACTGGAGTGGGGTTCTGTTGAGAAACTGGAGGCATAGCTCAGTGGTAGAGCACCTGTCTAGAATCTCCCAGTGAGGGGCTGGAAGTGTGGCTCAGTGGTAGAGCACCTGCCTAGAATCCCCCAGTGAGGGGCTGGGGTGTGGCTTGGTGGTAGAGCACCTGCCTAGAATTCTCCAGTGAGGGGGTTGAATGTAGAACGCTCAAAGAAAATTCATGGAAAGTAAGGGGTCATTGAGGGACTGGTTCCCCCTCAGGAGCCATGATATATGTACTTCCCAGAAGTTCCCAATAATCTGCATCCAAAGTAGCCAGAGGTTCCAATGGGACACATTTAGGTTGGGAAGCAGGCAGAGGGAGCTGTGACTCTGCTGAGAATGCTGATGCTGGCACCTGCTGCTTGAGCCACACTCCAAAGCCAGCCCAAGAACAAACAGCACATGAGCTTTACACCTGACTCTCACTGCATCAATCAGACATTAGAAGGCTAGGAACGTACTCAGTGGTTTGATCATTCGCCTAGCATATGTGAGACCCAAGGTTCACTTCTCAGCAGTGCAAAGGGGAAAAAAATCAAAGGTTGGGAACTAAATTTAGTACCTTTGGAACTTTGAGGCCAAAGCAAGGGCATGCAGTTCCTTTTCTTTCTCGTTGCACCCCTAGATCCAGGGGAGGGTCTCTGGAAAGCTGGGACTCAGACTGGGCAACATCATCAGCTGTGGCCACCAGGAGGCGCCCAAGACCATGGTGGGTAGTGGCAGAGGCAGATTCCTGGACAGGGCCTGGGTGAACTATCACAGCTGAGCCCCCTAAACTCCATGATATATAGACAACTTCCAGAGTCCAATATAGGGTACCTGTTGGTCTTGGGGTCCTTTTCAGGGATTTACCAAGTGCCTATGTATGTAGTTGGGCAGCAAGCAGGGTTGCTTAGATTTTATACATTAACCCCCACTCTTGTTTTACTTATTTTAATATTTTTTCTGTTATGTGTATGTGTGTTTTGCCTGAATCTATGTCTATGTACCATATACATGCAGTATTCAAAGAGGCCAGAAGAGGGCGTCATGTCAGATATTCTCACCCCCTACCCCCTCCAGGGAACTGGAGTTATAAATGCTGAGCCACGTTATGGATGCTGGGATTTGAACACCAGGTGCTCTTAACCACTGAGCCAACTCCCCAGGCTCTTATTTGCTTATTTATTTGTTTATATTGATTTGACAAAGTCCAGGCTGGCCTTGGATCCTATGTAGCCAAGGACATTCATGTGATGCTGGGGTTTGAACGCATGACTTCTTCCATGCTTGGCAAGCACTCTACCAACTGAGTCACATTGCCAGCCCCTGTGTGCACATATGTGTGCCTTTGTAGATGTGTGTGATGACAGTAGAGGGGGGACTATCTGTGAAAAGTAAGAAGACTATCCCAAGTAGGGAGAGAAGGTGAAGGGGGTGAGCACAGTCCGAGCACGTGATAGGTGATAGATGGCACTATCTTTATGATTACTCTGGATAGTGAAAACACATCAATTAAAAAAAATAAAATACAGAAGCACCAAAGACCAATGAGATGAGCAGCATGCTGCTAAGCCTAATGACCTAAGTTTGGTCCCTAGGATCTACAGAGTGGAAGAACCTACACCTACAGGTAGGTTGTCTTTGTACATCTGTGTGCCACAGGCCTACCTGGTGCCGCTAGAGGCCAGAAGAGGGTGTTGCAACCCCTAGGACTAGAGTTACAGGCCATTGCGAGCAGCCATATGGGTGCTGGGAATCGAACCTGAGCAGCCAGTGCTCTTAACCGCCAAGCCATCTTTCCAGCCCCATCTGTTATTGTTGTTGTGATGCCAAGCATCAAAAGGGGGGAAAAAAATTTTTTTTTTTTTTGAGAGAGGTCAAGGCTGGGGTCAGGTGAACAGGTGGACCTAGGAGTGTGTGCCACAGGCCCAGCCAATGAGTCTGATAAACTACTCTGGGGCTGCTGCTTCCTCCCGAGACTTCAGGCCCAGAATGCAAGCTGAAGAAATCCAGTGGGGTCTGACTTCTGTCGTTCGAGGTCGGGGCATTTGTGGCAGGAGAGTATGGATTGCTCATTGCCCTGCCCAACCTTCTCCTGGCCATCTCCCCCAGACCCCACTCCTGGGGTGGCTTTGCCTGGGCTGTGCCACACTGAAGCGCATGCGCGTGCACGCAGGCGCACAGGCACTCGTGCTCACATTAACTGACTTTTGCTCACACTCTGCGGTTTTGGCCTTCCGGCTCCAACAGTGAGGCACCTCTTCCAGGAAGTCAGCCCTGCTGACCCCAGTGGGGAGGGAAGTTCAGAGAGGGAAGTTGAAAGATTCAACCCCACCCTGTAGCCCTCCCCCAGACCCAGCTCAGCTAGTCCTGGCGACTGCTCCTACCACTCAGCATGAGAGAGGAAGCTGGGGGCTGAGGCTGCATTCTGCACCCTCCCTAACACCCTATAGCTTGCAATTGCAATTCTACTTTTAATGTGGGGAGGGGGGGCATCGTTCTGCAGGTAGTGTAGGCTGTTCTGGAACTCTTGCAGTCCTCCTGCCTCAGTCTCCCAGGTGCAGAGATTACAGGCATGAGCCACCAGGATACCTGGCTTGCAATTTTACTTTTGGAAGCCCTCCAGTGATGGGTGGTTTGGGACAGGACACCTGACTGGGCCCCTTCTGGTGCTGTCAGCTGGGTTATGTGTTAATGACAAGGACATACCCCCAACGCATCCGGGGGAGAAAATTAGTTCCCTCCCTGTCTAAGTAGTTGACCTAAGAGGAGGGCCCTTGTTCAGAGCCCCATGGCAGTCAACTAGCTGTCAATTGGTGGTGGGGCATGCCTTTAATCCCAGCAGAGGCAGGCAGAACTATGAGTTCAAGGCCAGCCTGGTCTCCAGAGAGAATTCCAGGACAGCCAGGGCCACACAGAGAAACCATCTCAAAACCCCCACCCAGAATAAAATACAAAAAAAAGAAAGCCAGTGTGTTTCTCTTTTGAGGCATAACCTTGCCTGGCCAGCTACACCTGGGAGAAATAGTTGAGGCCGCTGGTCCCTTCCCACTTGACTCCAGTTTCTCAGATAATTTTTTTGAAACAAGACCTCACTTTATAGCCCAAGCTAGCCCTGACCTCATGATCCCCCTGCCTCAGCCTCTGGAACACTAGGGTCAGACACCTCTGCCACCTCACGGGTTTCCCGCCCTGCTCCTTGCTGCCATCATGTCCCTCCAGGTTCCAGGGCATTTGCACCCACCATGATGCCCTTTGACTCCACTCCAGTTCCAATAGGAACCCTACCCTGGCTGGGGCATCCACTCCATGCCCATGAGACCATTGTAGACATTGTACCTTCCAGCTCAGTGGGGAGGCTGATGCCAACTGCAGGAGTCTCTGTGAGGACCAGGGCAGAGGGCAACAGGCGTCTGACTCACCCAGGCAGGAAGGAGGCCCACGGCTTGTGTGCAGACTGCTCCTTTGTGACCTTTCCACCACCTAGCAAATGTCAGCTTCCTCATCCATAAGTGGGGCCCTGAGCCACCGCACCAAGCACTGTATGCTGAAGACAATGGCCACAAACAGCAGGCAGCCACTTCAGGCCTTTAAAAGCCAAGCTGCAGGGCCAGTGTGGGGTCAGGTCCTGGCCAGTTGCCTGCTAACAAGGCGAGAGCAGTTTACCAGCAAGGGCCATGCCCAGCCCACTCTCGAGTGCTGATTATAATCAGTGTCTGGTGGAGTGGGGAGGGGCAGATCTCTAATCAGGTGGGGCAGGGAAGAAGGCAGAGGACACAGGTGGCAGGTAGCGAGGACACGAAGCTCCAGGTGAGACCAGATCAAGGTCAGAGCAGGCAGGCCCCTGCAGAGGGGCAGTAGGTGGCCAGTACCACCCTGCCAGCCCAGAGAAGTTACTGTAAAGAGGAGGAAGCAAGGAGACCACAGGAAGAGGGTAGGGTGGGGATCCCCCTGCTTAGCCACCTTCCCTCCCCACCCTTTGTGGGGACTTGAGGAAGGTCCCTAAAGAACCTCAGAAGAGTCTAGTCTTCGCCAGCTCCCCTTGTGCCCAGTCTGGACACTGCCTATTCTCAGAGGGTACCCCCAAACTTCTCATGACAGATGGAAGGCTAGGCAATGTTGGCAAGGCTCATAGGTCCCTGAGATCTAGGGGCTATCAGAATGCCTGCCTATGACATCCTGTTAGCCCACTTCAAGCCTCAGCTTCCCTGTCTCCAAAATGGATCTCTGGCCAGCCACTGTCTGTCCTGCAGAGAGGTCTACACTCCTAGCTATCACAAGTGATGTTAACATAGCACCATGACCTAAACAAGCAGCTACCTCCATCAGCCCAGGCCCACCCCCACCTCCCAGCACGGCGCCTACCCACCCAGTTGACAAACCTACACGGAGCTAGTCACACTTCACCTATTTTGACATCAAGTTTCCCTCCCCAGTATCAGGTTGTAGGATTCCTACCAACTACTTTCTCCATGGCATAAGCCAGCTTCTCCTGCCCCATCTGAGTGTCCCATGGTGTTACCTTGATGGAAAAGTGGCTTAGACCCAACTCCCAAGCAAGACTAAGGCCCCTCGTGTTGCTGCAAAGAGCACCTTTATTCAGAGGAAGGACATCACCATGGCAACAACTCATCAATTCCCTGAGAGCTTTTCCCTTATCATCATTAGCTTGCCTAGCTAAGGTCTTTGCAAAAAGAACGAAACCCATGGGGTGGGGTGAGGTGAGAGCCTTGGGATGCTGGGGAGGATAATGGGGGATAGCAGGATTCCAGATACTGGAAGGCATAAATACAGTACAAAGGCATTCATGGTCCAGCGTTCCAAAGACCAAGCCTTGTTTGGCTTCTGCTTTTTTTCTGATCCACAGAAAAGATAAAATAAGACCCTCTCCAGCCCACCCAGAAACACACCCCTCCCTTCATCCCCAACCCTCCCATCTCATGAAACAGCACAGTAAAAAAAATACTGTCACAATATTTACAGGAACACCCACTATGGGCGACTTTCTCTCTACTAAGGAGAGGAGATAAAATTCATAGCTCTGAACCTCCTCGTATGGGAGACAAAGATAGGACCTTAAGGGGCAGGGATGAAGACTTCACCCCACCCTGGAGGGCAGAGAGGGAGACACTCATTGTTCACCTGAATGGCCACTAGCAGTGCCCAGGCGAGGAGGGGCCCAGGCCTTTGACCACCCAAACCAGCTTCCCTAACACTGGGCATGGCTCAGCTGACAGGGAAGATTCCAGGTAGGCACTGGCATCCCATCTTAGAGACTGTGCTATAAGATGGCACCCATGTACCCAGAGGTGCACCCCGAGGTCTCTCCCCACCCCCCAGTGCAGAGATCTAAACACAGATCCTACAGAACTGCCCTCAGAGTGGCTCTCAGAGTGTAGAAAAGATAGTTAAGGACAGACATGCCACTCCCTGAAGAACTCGACTGCCCAGCAGTCTGCAATATGGGTGGGCACACTACACAAACACACAAATATACACACACACACACACAGCCCTGAAGAGCCTTGAACACCAAGGCCAGGACACACAACAGGGGTCCCTGGGCCCTTTGGATACCAGGGGCACCCAGGGACAAGGTCTTAGCCACGGCTGCTAGAAGATGGCGGTGCGGGGACACCAGGGTGTGTCCGGGTACAGGTGACAGTGGATAGAGCGGAACCTGTAGGGATAAAGGAGAAGACTGGTCTATGTAGGGTGGGGTTCCAGGGCCCCCCCTATGTAATCTGGATGCTCAGGGGTATCTGGTGACCCTCTGTAAGCCCTTACCTGGATGGGTCAGCCTCTACTGAGAAGGGTCCCTTGATAAGCACTGCATTTCGCTTGTTTTCAAACATGCCATAGCTCAGGGTCACCTGTATCAGGAACAATGGATTGATGCTGGAGCAGCCCTTCCTGGCTAGCTATTTTCTCTGCTCTCCCTTGGACCAAGGACACCTGCTCTGCCCATCTGGGGATGAAGTCCAGGGTGAGGACTACAGCCATGAACAAGACAGAGCAGGTGGGTCCCCTTAAAAGGCAGGAGTAGAGATTTAAAAGAGTCTATTTTACTATTTTTTGAGGAACTAAAGACAAAACTGTGTTGCCTCATACATGTAAGTTAAGGGCTTTACCACTGAGCTATAGCCCCAGCTCTGGGCTCAGTAAAGATTGTGACACCTGAAAATAGGGTATCTCCGACACCCCTATTTAAAGGTTACCCCAGACCACTCAATTAGGATGCAACACAAAGCCCTGCGTTCCATCCCCAGCACTTCATGAACTGAGTGTGGGGATGCACACCTGTACTCCTAGCCCAGGGAGGTGGAGGAAAATCAGGAAAATCAGGAATTCAAGGTCATCCTCAACTACTATGAACTTCAAGGCTAGCCTGAAATACATGAGACCCATCTCTGAGTATATAAACAAATAAATGAAAAAATGCATACATCCCAGGTGTGTCAGGTGTGGAGCAAACAACTGACTCTCAGCATATGGCAGGCTGAAGCAAGAGGGTCACGGGTTCAAGGCTAGCCTCGGTCGGCTACATAGTGAAACCATCTCAACAAACCAAACATAAACAAATAAACAAATAAGAACTGTCCCTTCCGTCCCTGTTGAGTTCCCTCCCTGGCTACCCCCGCCTTTGGGATGCACACACACCTACCTGCTCATGGAGCTCGGAGGTGGGCACCTGCTGCAGGTTCTCCAGGTGGGAATGAAAGAGGCCACTCCGGATAAGGGGCACCCCGAGCAGTGCTTCCACAATGTAGCCAATGGTGCAGTCATCGGGGAGCCGGATGCGCTCGGCCGTGTTCATGAAGTGTCCCCCGCTGCAAAAAGGAGTAAGCAGAGGCTGAAGCCAGCAGCTGCAGAGAGGGTGGGCAAGACCTTGCCAAACTGGGCTCCCTCCCTCTATGAACCATAATTCTTCCATGCCAGAGAGTTTCACCCAAGGCTGCTCTAGCCAGGGCAGAGGTAATGGGAATGGCTGCAAACACAGCTGTGTGTAGGCACCTAATGGAGAGGAGCAGGCAGCTGGGAGAGGACAGCCCAACAAGCCAGGCCCTTCAGTGGGGCACCCAGGACCACAACTGAACACCCTGCTGTGTGGGTGGCCTTCCACATGCAGGGGGCACTCACCTGGCCCATGGGGCCATCTTTAGGGCTAACCCTCGGCTGATACAGAAGCCAGCTCCTCCGGTGGCGAACCAAAAGTGGACAGGTCGCTGGGGGCAGTGAAATGGCTGTCATGAGATTCCTGGATTCCACCAGGTTGCAGCGGTGTCTCAGCCCCACCCTAACTCCTCAGGGTGTGTGCAACTGAGACAGGATGGGAGACACTCACCACTTTGTGCTCGCTGATCCGTTCTGTGGCCTGGATGGGCCGGTCCAGACTGGGTTTGCCGATGTACACGTCTTGGGTGTGGGGATAGCTGGCCAGCAGCCGCAGCAGCGCCCTGAGGTTGACGTAGTTGTCATCATCCACGTGGCAGAACCACCTGAATACAAGGCAGGGTACTGTCAGGGACTGTGGCCAGGGCGGCAGGACTGCCAGGCGGCCAGGGAAGGGGCATGGACGGGACACAGCGGGGAAGGGAGAAACTCACTTCTTCCCAGACTCAATGAAATGGTCATACTCCACAGCCATCTTGCAGGACAGAGCCTGGCGGCTATGGGCCGCAGAACAGTTGGTGAGTACCACATTGCCTGTGGACAAGGAAGGCTGTAAGCAGATCTGGGCAGCACAGGCAGGAGGCTCTTCTCCAACTGCCTCAAACCTTAACCCCAGGCCACCCCCCTCCCCAGGGTAGCTGCCCCTCCCTGCTCATTCATTCAGCCAGTTTTCCCCCAGCACTGGGCCACCTGTTGCTGCTTGCAGGACTCAAAGGGTCCCCATAGAATTGAAAGGGGCTCCTCTGCATAAGAATTGGGGGCCCTGGGAGTGGTGGGGTGGGGCATGAAGCACACCAACAGGGTAAACTGGCCTCTAAGCCGGGGGACCGGTGGTGACCTCTGAGCCCCAGGGTGCCTCAGGGGAAGAATCTGTTTAGCACCAGGCCCACCTCTTCCTGCCCCAAGCCTGGAACATACCTGTGAGCTTGGCCAAAGCTCCATCCTCCCCATCAGTGAAGATGAATGTCTGGAAGAAGAGATAGGAACTGAGCTTGCAGCTCCAAGTCCCCCGCCAGAGCCACAGCCAAGGCACCCTGGAGTGCCCTCAGCTGCAGGTCTATACACCCCACCCACCACCACTGCACACAGAACATGTGCTCAAGTGTCCAGGGTGAGTGGCAGCTGGGCTGTCGGGGGAGGGGGACTCACTCCCTAACTTCAAGACAGCTGGGCCCAAGGTCACCATAGGCAGCTGGGAGGCACGAGCCAGGTGGGGTGCCCCACCCACCAGCCAGGTAAGCGGGCTGCAGCTAACCCTCCAGCCAACTTGTGCACCTGGCGGGGCACACACCCTTATTGACACAGCCTGCATGCCCGCCCAGCCTGCAGGCTTTCCAAGCTGTGGGAGGGGGTGGGGGACAGGAGGAGGAGGTCGGCTTTGGGAAGCTGAGCTTCACTCACTCGGGTCGGGGACAAAGGCCTCTGCTGGGCTGCTGCCAAGCCCTGGCAGACAAAGGGCCCCGGAGGGAGGATGAATCACCAGCCATTGTCCGCCAGCTTTGTCCTGGGCTGGGCCGGCCTTAACTCTGCCGAGTTAAGCAGGAGTGGCCCGGCTGTCATTTCCATACAGCTGGCCTGGTTAACTGGGCCGACTGGACAAGAGGTCCTATACACGGGATATGGGTAAGGCCATTGGTCATCTAGTACTCTGGTCTGGGCCTCCTGTTGTGCCCTATAGGGCAGGTTCCTCCGGCCACAGCAGCCAGCCAGGTTCTGAGATGGTGGCAGAAAAGGACTCGTGTTCCCAGGCCCACAGTAGGGCATCCAAGCAGTCAGCCCAGTTCAGAAGAGGAAACCTCTTCCGTGCTCACTGAAGGTCTTGCCCAAGGCCACAGCCAAGACTCCACCTGGCCCGGCACAGGGCCACCCCCTGCCAGGATTACTCTGCGGAAGAGGAGGGTGGGCGCCGGGGCGGGGACAGGAGCTGCCGGCGCCCGCCTGGGCCCGTCAGCACACGGGAAGGAATGTTCCTTCCTCCGCCGGCCCGCCCAGCGCGTGCCGCCTGCCGCACCCTGGCATTGCAGGGTGCAACCCCGGGGCGGGTGGGGGATGCTCAGAGTAGAGGCGGCAGTCCCCGTCCTGCCCGCCCCCAACAACAATCCTCACTTTCCTTTTGTGCACAAAAGAATCCCAAGGAAACCGTGCTGAGTGCAAGCCTGGAGGTCAGCATGTGCTCAGCTATGCAAGGAACTAACTACCCCAGGCCTGACAGGGTGGTACACCATGTCCTGAGTAGCCCCAGTTCTTTGCTCAGGTTAGCCAAATGCCCAGAAGCTCACTCCAGTGAGGCCCAGGGAGGGGAGAAAAGGTGAGACCTCTATCATCTGCAAGCATGCACCTCTCCTTCCAGGGCTCTGCAGACACCAGGGGCAGCCCACACGCACAGACTCGCATCCAGCCGCCCCCCCTACACCCCAGCATCTCAGCCCAGGAATGCCGTGGGAGGTGCAGCGGGCCGGCCTGTGCAGACGCTGCTGCTGGATTAAAAGGAAAATGCTTTCTTAATGAGATCAAGAGAGGCCTGTTCTCCCGCGCTTCGATGGTGTCCTAAAAACCCAGCCCAAGGCTACAGAGATTAAAGTCACCTTTGTTCAGTTGGGGGGGGTGCAGGAGGCCCGCCAGTCTTTGAGAGGTGGGGCTGTGGAGTACCAGGGTGCTCTGCCTGCTGTCTCACCAACACAGGGCAATCAGGAGAGGAAGGGGCAGGGGCTGCACCTGTGGGTAGCACTCAACCCCTAGGTACACTGTATAGTACAACACAGTGCGCCTGTGCAGAACCAAGTTTTCCCTAGTGTTCCTGGGAGGTGGGTAGCATCTTCTCCCCCATGGTATACAGCAAAGAGACCCAAGCCCCCTCCCACCCCCAAACTTCCCCAAGGAGGGCCATCAGGGTAGTGAGGGCAACAGAATTGGTGGGGGCAGGCCAGGGGCTGGGGGAGAGACACACAGGAAGCAGCATTGTTCCTGGAGCTGAGATTCAAAGAAACACAGGATGCCAAGTTCTGCCCCAGCCATTGTGGCTGTGGCGGTGGCAGCCTGCAGCCTGGCGCACTCCTTAGTGGTGGGGGAGGAGCAAGAGGGCCAGAGGCCAGGCAACCCCGCCTGTCCCCCACTGACCACCTTCTCCATCTCTCCAAATGTTGCTTGCTTTTTTTTGTGCAACCCCACAATCATGCTTGATGCCAAGATTGCCCTTCCTGGGCCAAAGGACTCTGGTTCAGATGGAACCTCCTCCCTCTCCCCCTCCTCCTCCTCCTCCAGGAAGCCTTCTTTCCATTCATACCCAATCGGGGCTAACACAGCTTCTCAGCTCCCATCAGATTACAGCTGCCCCGAACAGACAGGAGAACCCACCCGCCCTTTGCTACAGGTTCCAACGACCCTTGGCCATAGCACACCAAAAGAGGGGTTTTGCTTGCCATGTGCACATGAGCTGACCATGGAGGTAAATCCAGCCTTTTCTGGGTAGAGGGGAACTTACTTTGAATGACTTCTGCGATCAACACAAGCCTCCAAAGTTATAGTCCACTTTATAATACCTTATTAGAAAGACAATTGTTTCCCTTTTCAGAGAGCAAGAGACTGAGGGTCAAAAATGCCCTAGGCTTTTCTCCAGACCACATAGCCCAACTTAGACATTTTTCTGGGTCCTCTCTGCTAGAGAAAGTGCCAATCCCAAAATAAGAGTTTCTCAGAATTGGTGGTGGCCCAGAGGGGGATAGATGCTATCCAATATCACACAGCAGGAAAGCTGAAGGCGCCGGGTGGGGGTGGGGGGTGCCATGGATCAGAGATCGTGCCCCACGAGGGCTGTCATTCAAGGTTGTGGGGAGGACACAGAGGCCCCCTCATCGCCAGGCAACCTGAGTGGCCAGCACGCCAGCCAACGGTTCCCATGGAGCGCATAGCTGTACACAAGAGGCCGACGCCTTTCTCGGCTGGAGAAAGGGGCTTTGTTGCCTTGCCCAAGGGGCCGGCGTGAGAGCAGCCTAGCGCTGGGAATCCTAACGGCACCGCAGCCAAACAAAACCCATGGCCCCCGCTGCCCCCTCCCGAAGGCCTGCTGAGCCCCTGGGAAAGGGACGCCTCATTCTCAGTAGGCTGCTGTAGGGTTCTCAGGGCCCCTCTCTGATCAAGACTAGATAACTAGTCCTCCACTCTGTCCTAAAACAGAGCCCAGCCAAGCCTGATGGCCCTGGCTCCCTGGGGCTGGAGCAGGAAGGAAAATGAGCCTTCATCTTCACACCAAATACCCACCCCCACTCCTCCCCCCACACACACACTTGCAGTGCACTCTGCTCTCCCCGCCCCAACGGTCCTGCTGTAGCCTCCAGGGAGATTTTCAAAGTGGGGTGTGTCTTTTTATTATGTGTATGAAGTTGATGTCCAACTGGGGGGAGGTCAGCTACAAAAGACAAGGTTCTGCACAGGCCTGGAGAGCCAGTACCCTATTTCTTTCACTATATCTGGTCCTGGGGTGCTTCGCCTTCCCCTCCCTCACTTTCAAGGGAAGTACCCTCTAACCAGGAGGAAGGGATCAGTTCAGAGTGGAGGGGACCCAGCATGGTGCTGAGCCAATTTGTTCAGAAAAGTTTGGGAACAAATTCGACCATTCACTCCAGTGTTTAGGGGAAGCAACACAAGGCCAACCCCAAGCTGGAGGCTACTCATCCAGACCTAGAGTGTTTGTCTGGAGTGACCCTGGCAACACGGGAGCAAACTTCCAGGGCTGTAAGGCAAACTGGGCCTCAGCAGCCACGGCGGACTGGAATGGGACAGGTTGGTGTCATTGCTTCCCAAATAGACCCAAAGCTATTGATGCCGCCAGAGAGCCGCCCTGATGATCCCTACTCCATCCTCCTGCCCAGGCCGCGCAGGGTCTCACCATCTCCTTGTGGCGCGAGATCCAGGTCTCGAACAACAGGTCAAGACGCGCGCGGTGAAACTTTCTGGTGGTCTTAACCGCGATGAAGACGTCGCTGGGAGACAGAACTTCGGCCGGGGGACGCGGGTGGCCACCGGCGGGACGGGAAGCGACCCCGGGGGTTGGATCCGCGTCTCTACGCGCGCGGGTGAGTAGACTGAAATATTCGGAGAGGCTATGCACCTCACGGACAAGGGATCCGGGCTCCGCAGCCGCCCTGGACCCAGGACCCGGAGCCGCTCCAGCGGAGCCCGCCAGGCTGCGCAGCGCACGCCGTCCACGCTCGGCTGGTACTGGGGTCGGCGGCGGGTCGGCCGTGAGCACCAGGAGGCAAGCCAGCAGCGCACCCGCCAGCGCCAGCAGCAGGCGCCGGCCGCAGCGCTGGAGCATGGTGGCCGGCGGCCGCACGTTATGACCTCCCAGTGCCAGCTGGTCCGGCTGCCCGAGGCTCCCGGTCCAGCTGCGCGCCTCTAGCGCCAAGCGCTCTTAAAGGTCCTCTGTCTGCCACGCCCCCACGTGCTTATTGGATGCTAACCTGGGGGCGTGGCCTCTTGGGCGACCTCTGGCTCCCACGTGGGACATAGATGAGTGGTGGGAAGTAGGGGGCGGGGGACTGGGAACGACCCAGCTGGGGCACCCCCCCCCAGCACCAGCCCCCTTTACGCAGGAGCACGTCCGGCCCGCGCCGTGTCACCCTCCTGAGCTGCTCTGGGCGACTTCTAGGCTGAGCAACACCCGCCACGGCTGCACGTGGAGGGATGCGCTCCCACCCCCACCCCGACGCTGGGACCTGGGTGATGGAACCCGTGCTCCTCCGTGGGCGACATCCTTAGCTTCTCGCTATGCACTTCCTGCCCCCGACTGGGCTTCCTTCCCTAGGGACCGTGCTGACTGAGCGAGCCAAAGTGGTGTCCTGCGGGGTGTTCATGAGCGATTGGTTCTGGGCGGCCCCTACTGATTATCACCTGAGCCTTAGGTGCGGACCTGAGGCTCAGGTGAGAATTCTACATACTCTCCAGCAGGCCAATCCTGGCATTAAGTTCCTATATGGGATTTATGTGGGCCGAAAACCTCAGGCGCCCTGTGGCGAGGAGACACTCAGACCGCCCCTTTCCTCACGGGATGAAAGGCCACCTTCTGTTCCATTTGGTTCCTCCGCACTCCAACCAGATGTGACCCAGCTGTGCGCCCTCCCAGACCCGCCTCCCCGGCACACGGTCCCCTTCCCACGGGCGGGGGCCTTGCCTGCGCCCAGCACGAGCGGGGGCGGCAGGAATGCGTGCCTGATGGTAGGGTAAGAGGCTGCGGGTCCGGAAGTGGCCAAGGGTCCCTGGAGCAGGATCAGGGTCCCAGCCTGATCCTGCTGTATCTTCCGGGAGCACAACTGGGGGCGGCTCTCCGCCTGGCTGCCCCTGGGTCTGGTTGGCTTCAGTTTTCGCGTCCTCCTCCAAAGGAAGTCTGAGCCCACCCTACCACCACGGATAAACCGCTGTTCCTTCTGTCGCTGATTCCCCCTAGCACTTAAAATTAACATTAACACTGGAGTGGCATTTTTAGTTATTATACCACACTCTCTTAATGTCCCTCTCTAAGAATGTCAACATAAGGCTGGATCTCAGGCTGGATCAGGTACTCTTAAAAAGACTTATTGAAGGGGCTGGCCAGATGGCTCAGTGGGTAAAGGCAACTATTGCCTAGGCTGCTGATTTGAGTTTCATTCCCAGGACCCACATGGACAGAAAGAATCAATAGTTTGTTGTTCTCTGATCTCCCCACGTGCAATTTGGCCTGAACAACACAACTACCCTCAAAAAAAAAAAAAAAAAAAAATAGGTCTGGAGATGTACCCTAGCAGTCAGAGATTGTAGAGTGCTTGCCTAGCATGCAATGAAGTCCTGGTTCTATCCCAGCACCAAATAAAAGTGGGCATGGTGACCTATGCTCATAAGAAGTCAGAGCGAGATCTTCCTCAGCTAGTAATAAGCTTGAGTCCAACCTGAGCCACATGCGACACTATCTCAAAAATAAAATAAAATGCCATTGAATTGATGTGTAGCCAGGCTCCTTACCACCCTCCCACCCAGCCCCAGGAGTGGATCTGTGGTCCATTTGCTCTGAGGACCCTGTGGAACAACATTGGCCCTCTATGGTGGGAGGGAGTGGAATATAGTGGTTCCCAGGCCTCTTTCTGGCCCTCCTCCCTCCCCCTGGGGTAATTAGGAGACACCACCTCTGGTAGGCAGATGCCTAAGCAGATGGTGCTGGCTATGCCCCAGTGACAAGTCTCCCATGGCGTCACCTCCTGCTATAAACCCCTCCCCCATCTGTTAGTGCCCAGTCCCTCTAGGACAAGAAGGAAAAAGTCCTACCTGATGGACTGCCCTCCAAACATTAACCCACCCATCCTAGTTCCAGCTGACCTTTCCCACCACCAGCCCCTGTCTATTACCATCCAAATAGTTTAGGATGAGGTTCCTCACTGAATTCTCTCTCCTGGACCACTTGGCAGCCTCCTCCCTGCTCTGATACCCCCCCCCCCAAATAGACTATTCTTCCATGGCTCCCTGCTGTCACCTATGAATCCAAGACTCTCCCGGTGCCCACGTGTCTTGTGAGTGACAGTCCTAGCCCCCTCCAGTCTTCTTCATTTCCCAACAGATGAAACCTGTTAGCCACCCCACCTACCCCACCCACCCCGCCCACCCACAACAACATTCTGCATGGCTTCAGTTTAAGCCAAGGGCCAGGATCTTTAGTGGGAAAGTCTGTAAGGGGCAGGAAAACAAACAGGAATTAGCCATGCCTTCCACGTCCATCTGAGCAGGTACTAGTTGGCCATCAGACTCTGTGGGGCTCCATCCCAGACTTGGGACTCCCTCAAGCCCCTAAGCATCAAGACTCCAGGCTCCCCATTTCTCATAGCTATTGTGGTTTTGACACACCAGGAAGAATGAGAAGTGTGCCCATTGTAAAGAAAGCAAGCTGATGGCTGAGATGGGCTGGTGCAGCATGCAACAGAGAAGGGGAGACCCAGTCAGCCATGGTCATGAAGCTGGGCTGAGGGGAGTGAGGAGCCCCGTCCTGGCTGTGGCTGCTGATCTGAAAATGGCAGGTCAAAGCCTTACAGCATTCTTGTGGGGGCTGCAGGCTCTGGCCAGTGTGACTCAGTGTCTTTGCTGTCAGGAGAATGGAATTTCGTGGTTACTTCTTGAGGTCTGAAAATCAGAGGGAGACATGACTGGCCAGCCTCCCTGTTTCTGCCTCAGCCCAGCTCTAGTCTGATGTCCCTAGACCCTAAGTAGGAGGATAGGGCACTTCTTCCAGTACAGGAAATGAGGGGCTGGAGAGAGAAGACCAGGACATTCAGAAAGCCCCTTGGGGTCCTCAGTAACTGCCCTGAGAAGAGAGATTCTAGGGCCAGGGGCCCAGGCCCAGGCTCAGCCCCAAGCAGGAGGATAGAAAACAAGATCCCAGAGGGGCTACTTAGCAGCTTTAGCCTAGGACCTGTGACCTTGCTCTGTCTAGTCTCAGCATTCCCACCTGTGATGGCAGAATGACATTACTATTCTGTTTTTTTATTGCTGTTGTTGTTGATGGTGGTGGTCTCCATGCTTACTAGGAAAAAGATCTATCACTGAGCCACACCCCCAGCCCCTCACTGGGGTATTCTAAGCAGGTGCTCTACTACTGAGCCACACCCCTAGATTCTTTTTACCTTTTTATTTTATTTTATTTTATTTTTATGACCACATTTATTTTGAGGCTTGGGCTTCAGCTTCATTCCCTTTCCTTACAGTCCAGGGACTTTTGCTAACCTTGAAACTGGAGATCAGGTTAGTGGGCCACAAAGGACCCCCAAAGGGAGAGCATCCGGGTTCCAGGTTCTGATATGACGACAACGTGCATTCCAGAGACACTCTTCTTCCACCTGTCATGCCAGCAGCACACTGAGAAAGTCACAGTTGTTTCTCTGACTCCACAGAAGTCCTGTCCCCCTGGTCCCATTGCTTTCCAAGTTTGCTTCCTCCCCTCTAATCCCAACCCATTGAACGATCGATCTTTCCCCACCCCACACTCATGGAGCAGGATTAGAATCCTACATTGTCCTCTAGGTCAGATTCTAGTTCCCTAATGTGACACCTGAGTCACAGCTTTCATTAAGTGGCCAAAATTAACTTCTCCTTGTTTACTGCCAACAGGGCCATAGCTGGGTCCCCAGGCTTCTTGGTGACAGAGCAGGTAAGAGTGCCAGCCTGACCCTCAGACTCAAGGCTTAGCTTGTGCTTCCTGAATCACTCTGATAGTCCCTTACTGGTAGATACCCAAGTAGCTGTTTAGGACTGTTCAAAACGGTGTGCTGAGGAACAGAGCTATGTCCTTAGTGACTACAGTCACCCAGAGGTCTCCAGTTGAAGTCAGACTCACAAAGTCCTTCCCTTGAGACTGATTTGGAACCAGCCATCTGCCTACCACCCCTCTCCTGGTGTCTTGAGGCCCCTGCAGCAGCCTGCCCCCCATGCAGGGTCCTGGGAAGATCCATGGAGACTGAATAAGTGACCCATTAACTCTGCAGGAAGCCATCCGAGGCAGCCCAGCACTGACCACTGCTTGGAGTTGGCAGTCTGGGAACCAGGGCAGCAGAGCTCAGAGAGGCTGGCCATGGTGGTAGGCACACTTGCAATCCCAACACTCAAAAGGCAGAGGCAGGAGAATCAAGGCCAGCCTGAGCTACATGAAATCCTTTCTTTCTCTCTCTCTCTCTCTCTTTCTTTTTTTTTTTTTTTTTTTTTTTTTTTTTTTTTTTTTGAGACAGGATTTCTCTGGGTAGCTCTGGCTGTCTGGCTGTCCTGGAACTAGCTCTGTAGACCAGGCCAGCCTTGAACTCAGACAGAGAGATTTGCCTCCCTCTGTCTCCCAAATGCTGGGATTAAAGGCGTGTGCCACTGCAATCCTGTTTCAAAAACACCAAAACTAGAGGGCAGAGGAGATAGCTTCAGTTGGTGGTTTACTATGCAAGCACAAGGATCTGATTTCAATCCCCAGCACCCATGTAAAAAGCCAGACATGGTGGCTTGCACTGGTAATCACAGCACTGGGGAGTCAGAAACAAGTAGCTTCCTAGTGCTCATTGCCAGACACCCTAGCCTACTTGTTGGCCAATGAGAGACCCTGCCTCAAAACACAACAAAAACAAAATGGATGAATCTGAAGAGCCTCTACTGGCAAATATATACATGTGCATGAGGCTAGGCAGTGTCCTTAAAGCCATAGCCAGATGGCACAATGAGGTAGGGCTGGAATTCTTCCTATCCGGTACACATATATCAGAGCTAGGACTCAATCAAGGTGACCCACAAGAGGCACAGAGCAGAAAGTTCTGTCACTCCTGGCAGAGGGGTTGGCTAGGATCTCGGCCCAGCCAACTAGGGAGAAGGGGAGGGCAGGAACATAGGCATGTAAGGGGTGGGTACAAGGG